CATTTATATTATGTTGCATGTGCATTATTTTATTTGTCACCTTTCACAGCATAAATTAAAATTTTTAACCCCTTAAAGTTAAAAGTTTAACCCTTTAGGTCTCTGCTCATTATTATTTTTACTCCTAAAATATCACAGATATTTTGATCAATAAAGAAATATATCACAACTATGATAATATGTATAATTAACTATGTTTTAGTTGAATTTATGAACTGTTACAATTGACCCCGTAAGTGGGGACAATTGTAACAAGTGCACGACTGTCAGAAATTGCTAATAACTAATATAATAACATTTAACATAATTTATTTTTTTTTCTAGTAGAGGATAGTCTACTTTGCTCGTCTGTCAATTAATACTAATAATATATAGGAATTTTTGTTAGGTAAAAATAATTAAGTAAAAAATGTTACAATTGGCCCCACTCTCCCCTACTAAAACACTGATAGAAACTTAATTACCTCAGCAAATAAAATCAGGCTAAATCAGCATATAAAATCAGGCTATTTACATTTATTTTCCTTTATTATTTCGAAATTCATCAGATAAGCTAATTAAGAGAATAAATGTTTGTTATTCAACTAAAAAAATTTTTTTTGCAGTCAGACATAAATTAGAAAAAAAACTTACAGGAAAATATTGGAAGAACACCAGCTTGATCAATTTTCAGAAAATTATTATTTTAAATTTTTTTTTAATATTTAAAAAAATAAATAAATACAAAAACGTACGTAACAATTAATGTCCATAACCTTGCGAATAAGCTTCTTTCTCTTATAAATAATTTGAGAATTATTTAGGACGATCGATAAAGTAATAAATAATACTTTTTTTAATTTATTAAGTAGATATTAGTTTAAAAGGGATTGATTTATTGAATATACATTTAATTTCCTTTTCATTTCTTCGGAAAAACATTTGTAAGTTCAGCTAAGAATTTTTTCTAAGGAGACATGACATGATTATTATGTTGATTAAAAAACACAATGCAATTTTGTTTGCATTCTTCTTTTCGGTTTGAGTGCTAAAATCACGCGATCCATTTAAGACAATTTAAATTATATTAACATATTATTTTGATATATCACCTTGTACATGAATGCTATCAATTTGTTTTTCTTACAAAATAATTCACTATTAGCTCATCAGGTACGAAACTATCTTGTTTGAAAATTCAGTTTTGTTAATTTTAACTATAGTTTCTTCACAAAATCACGTGATTTTCGATGAAGCGATAAATCTCAAATACTTGAAAAAATTGATATTCATTCTTGAGAATACAGGGATCACTTCGGACACTTTTCTTTTATCTTAATTAGTTCATCTTCTTTCAAATCGTTTGCATTGTGTGATAAGGGATTGAAGGTATCGCGAAGTTAGACAAGCAGGTTTTCCGGCCGTTACAGAATATTCGTTCTATCACATTGTTCTTTTTATACTTATCCTTATGACGAATGTAAATTGATGAGTTACGCCTGAAAATTTTTGTCGAAACTCGTATCCTCCAATAAGAAAAGATTGCAAATTCTTCAATTTTAAATTCGGAGCATCTCCTGGAAAAACATTTCGTCGAAAGCGGAGAAAATTTTATGACTGAGCATTCACTGATTACTGTAGAATTTGGAATAAATAGTTTAAAAAGATTGAAAATTCCCTGATTTCACGCTCGGAACATCTCCCAGTAAAAGATTTCGTCAAAAACAGAGAAAGTTTCATGACTGAGTGTCCCTTTATTACAGTGAAATTTGGAATAAATATTTAAAAGGATTTCAAAATCTTCAATTTCACGCTTGGTTCATATCCCGGTCAAATTGCATGATTTCGTCAAAAGTTAAGAAAATTTCACGATTGCGTTTTTTTCGTATTACAGTGAAATTTAGAATAAACTTTTTTAAAAAAATCGAAATGCAGAAAATTTCTGTCGATACATCTAAGGAAAAATTCTGTTCACAATCTGTTGATGATACGCCTTTTCTCAAATGTTGTCTAATTTCGATAGGAATATTTGCTTCAGTCAGTAAAAGCGATTGCTTACTTTTATATCATTTTGCTACATTTTGCGTTTTTAGATTCAACTATTTTGGCAATAATTTCTACAGTTGATAACACTTTGGATGTAAGAGCAACTTTAAGCGGAGTTTTTGGATTCATTTTCCAACTTTTAGCTTATCATTGTTTGAAAAGAAAAAAGAAAGACATCCTTCTTCTTATGAATAACATTAAAAAATTTAAAACATCAAGTGAAGGAATAAAGAAAACGAGAGGAGTGGATTTATTGGCTAGCACAGTTATTATAGTTCCGATTGTATTTTATACTGTATTTCTAATAATAATGAAGAAGAATTACGCCGTTATTTACTCTTATAACTATATGTTCAAACTTAAAATCGATAACGAAATTCTATCAAAAGTCTGCCTTGCTGTCAACGTCTATGTACTATATGCATTTCCATTGGTTGGCTTTGGAATAATATTATCAATTTTTATAAAATTCTGTCATTCCGCGGCGTCTTTACTGAGAGAATATTTAACAGATTTTGAAAAATCCCTCGATTCCCAAGATTTTCTTACACGGCAAAACCAATATGAACTGACTGAAAGATATGCTGACATAATCCACTTCTTGAAAAGAATGCAAAAAACCTTTTCTCACAGTTCTTTTTACATGTGCGCCAGTTGTATTTGCTACATGTTTATGCCGTTTGCTTCATTTCTTGCAAGCCCAGAACCAGAGTTGCTAACACATGTAATATTTTTATTTGAATTTGGTTTTTATTTCATGTATTACACCACTTCCTTAATTATAATCTACATGTGTGCTGATGAGATTCCGATTCAAATGCAGAATGTCAGAGATGCATTTTACGCTGAATACATAAATCTTCGTGTAAAGTCTAATTCTAAAGCATTGCTTTTAAAAGAATCTCATTTAAAAGAACTTGTTGATTTGCCTGACGTAACATTGTCAGGCTATTCGGTTTTATTTTACACAAAAGCCAATCTCTTTGGTTTGTTGAGTGCTTTTGTTTCATTTGGTATTATCATAGTAAGCTTAGAAAAATAGCACAAGAGTTTCTGCTCTTTTAACCTTGGTAAGCTTAACAACTAAGCTTACCAAGATAACATAGCATAAACTTGGTAACATAGTAAGCTTAAAAAATCAAACGATATTTTCAGCTTTTGTATCGTTTGGCATAATCATTGTCAGTTTAAAACAATAACGCATATTTTATGTTTATAAAACCCAACATCGACTTGGGATTGGCGTCATTCAACCTATCGTAAGAAAATACATCGTATAAAAACACCATTCTTGCCTGTCTTGAAGACAATCACTCTTATTTCTCTAAAAGAAGGAGGAAGAGTACGGAAAGAGTAGTTGAATTGTAAGGTATCATTTATAGTGAAAGATTTCTGTCTGAAAATACTTAAAATATTGATTTTTGTTTTGAACTTCATGTATTACATTGCAATTTACTTCGTGAAACTAAAATTGTTCACACTGTTTGTTATAAATGAGTCGGAAAATATGAATAAATAGCAATTTATTAAATGTTATTTTGCCATATTCAAACGATACAGCCAAATAACCATAAATAAGATGGTATTCAAACTGCTGACTGTGAATAATATCGTTTATTAACTGCTTCCACCTATTACGGCTAAACAGCCAGAATTATATTGCACCAACTAAACCAACTTCATGAAACTCTTCGTTCCTTGCGGCTGCGTACATATTATAGCCGAGAGGCATAACCTGTCAACCTGTCAACCTCATGACTGATAGAACGGGAGGTGGTCGGATCCCAGCGTTGACACCACAAAATNGGGTCCCGCAGTGTACTGATCATTAAGACACGGTACCCTGCAGATCACCAAAGTCAAGCGTCACTGGCTGCGGTCAGTGTGCGGGTAGGTGACAACTTGGAACAGTCTGCGTAGTAACCGAGGGTGTGCGATATTGGTCCTCGTTAAACTGTTCTACCGAAAAGTGCTCGACTTCACGTGCAGGTCGTCAGGCTACCGAAGCATGGGTGCCATCCCCTCTGCAGAGGATCAAAATTGTGATGGCATGTATTCGGATCATCCTCAGAGATGTTTCCCAGACCATCATCAATAGCCCATTGTGCAGCTGTAGTGCGGCGACAACAGCAACAACCTAGCAGCTGGGTACATATTATAGCCGAGAGGGTTAACCTGTCAACCTCATGACTGATAGAACGGGAGGTGGTCGAACACCAGCGTTGACACCACAAAATCTCCTACCTGTCCTTGAATACTTCAAGAGTTTCCAATGTCCTGTACACATCACAATTTACTGTTATCTGGATTGTTAGAATAAGATACTCTCACTCACGCACTGATGGCAGCATCGCAGCTTCAGTGTCAAGTTAGGCTATATGCAATTTTTAAGGGTGTTACAGCATTTAAATCTTACCTCTATAATAGAAATTTTACAATTCTGAGTGATAGTAAACCCCTAAAACATTATCGCAAGGTTACATCACCTGCTGATATTATCACACGTTGGTTGCTTGCTTTAAGTGAATATACTTTTGAGTTTGTACATATACCTGGTCATGAGAATGTGTTAGCCGACTGGTTTAATCGTTCTCCTGATCCAAATTTTTGTCAACCTGCTTTAAATAGTAATGATTCTGAAC